ACTCGGAAAATGGTTGAGCAAAGAATAAAATTTGTGATAATGATATTTATTAATTAATAGATTAACATTTTTCAAGCGACTATTTTAGACGATTTTTTAAGCAACAACACTATTCGATTCATATTGGATAGTTTTAATTAGCAATAAAATTTCTACAACTCATGATTATTCAACAATATTAGAATATATTTTACTATTTAGCAATATATTGGGAAATGTATAAAATAACCTTTCTTATGAAAACATGTAATCATTATCAGAAAGCAGAAGCGAGACAAAACATCAATTTAATAGAGTTGAAAATATCAATTTCTTACAGCGCTGCACTTTCTTTAACAAATTGCACGAATAATATCTATCATTCTTTTTTGAACTACTAACAAGTTCCTCAAATAGCAGCTGAATCGCAATGCACTTACTCTTGCACGATTTGTACTTATATATATTGAAATAATCGGTCCCATGAATTTTGCATACCATAAGCTATTGAAAAATAACAAGTTACTTTAGTTATTTCATTAATTACTTGAGTGCCGCAGACATCTACTTTTATTTCTTCCCTTATTTTGATAATTGTACAATAATATTGTGAAAATGATCAGATAATGAATAAAATATGGCATTAATAAGGAACAACGAACAATGTTGTTTCCTATAAAAATGAAGTAAGCTGTTTATGATTCGTGATCACTACAAAAATAGAATATATTTTATTGACTAAAAATTCGCAGATATATAATTATATATTTACAAAAAATACAATTGTTAGAAGAAAAGTCACAAAAGGAAAATAAAATTATTACAATAATAGAGTATAAATGATTAATTTCATATATTGTAGTATTCTCTTTGAAAGAGTACATATTAATGTTTAGCAAAACTAAAAATTATTTGCACACACTTATAATAATATGTCCCCTAATCCTTATATTTCTTTCTTCATTTTTTTGTGTTGGTGTGCGATTGTATTAATATGACTATAACGGTCGTAATGGAGGAGCAGAACTAGAGGGAAAGAATTTTTGTTTTAATTACTTATCCTTTTGAATGAGTAATTATATAATAATTAGAATGTACCCCCTGCAAGAATTTGAAGCCAAATTGAAAAAGACCAAGACCATAGAATTTGAGTGGAACTAGACTCATTTGCAACAGAAATTGCGAAATCTGTATTAGTAAAACGATACGTTTAATATAAATGATTAAATTGTCATTTATCTTAGTAGTAACACAAAAGATCTTACATTTTCGCGAACCTCAACATTATAAGTAGAATACGATATTCTATCAATAACATCTGCTATTGCGTTCGCCTGAAATCGAAACATTCGTAATAGCATAAAAAAGAAAGATGAGTCAAATAAATATGAATATAG